TCGTCGTGCACGCGTACTCTATGGGCGTGCTACACAAGGCAGTGCCGATGACACTCGGACTTTGCCTGGGCGTCGCAGCCGGAGTGGAGAGCTCGATTCCCTGGCAGATCGCCCGCGCACGAGGCGCACGAATCTCGGCGACAGGAGACAGTATGGTAAAGATCAGACATCCAGGTGGCGTGGTGGCCGTCGGAGCTGCGAGAAAGGATGGCGAGGTGACGAGCGCGAAGGTAGTGCGGACCGGCAGGAGATTGATGAAGGGCGTTGTCTGGTGGTAACTGCCCTCCCAATGTATGTCCAGCTCACAGTCACCCGAGTCTCGAATAATTGCATTTGGGTCATGATAACACTCGGTTGAGTTTAATACGTAGACCGAACAATGTTAGGTAGGTGAAGTACAGAGCAGTTAGCCAAACGATAGCAGTGACAGAACAGCTCGACAATTGAACTACGACAAATACGAGAAGAAGATGCGGGAGAATTATGACTGGCACACATCTATGCAACACGTGTAAAAAAGGAGATCCAGTGATGTTAAGGCTTGAGCGCCACGACGTTTTTGTTCCACGGCAATCCTGGAAGCTCGAAAGTACGCAGGCTATGCAAGAGGCTCTTCCAGTGCACGTCGTGATCTCGGCGCTGCTGCAGCTCTTGCAGTTGCGACGGGACAGGTGTGTGGATGTTGAGCGTGAAGACGTAGTCAGAGTAGTCTCGCAGCTGGTAGACCTTGAGGACATTCCTGCCGAGGGCGACGTAGTCGCTAAGGTCGACTACCTGGTCTGTCTTGCGCTAGTTGGGTGTATTTGTAAACAGCAGCGAGACTACATAGCAGATAGGTGCTTACCATGAACGGTGGAGAAAGCATCAGTCTGTGCTCGCCATTGGAGTTGTGAAGCTCTGCATATAGCCGTGCGTCTTTCGGCCACTTCATGACGACGCTGCGACAGAGTTTCTCATACGAGGAAAAACCATCCACGTCTTTCGACCTCGCGCGTATGTAATCTACGCAGTCGTTGAAGGGATAGCAGGAAAAAGATACGCATCGCTCTTTAGACACATCCCTGTTAATCAACGTCAGACAAGAGTTGCCGCAGTTAACGACATCGAACATACTCTATTGACTTGTAGCGTCCCGCCCATCTTGACAGAGACGCCATGAGCTCGGGGCTGACGTCGAACTGAAAGACGACCTCATCCTCCGTAGAGCCACGCCGACACTCGAGGACACGCAGTTCGGAGTATGTAAGCGGGCTGTTCAGATCGACAACAGGGAGCGAAATTGAATGCGCTGCAGGTGGCGGTGTGGGAGGAGGAAGGGTCTGTATCTCGCCCTCCTCCACAATTTCCTGTGTGGACGAAGGCATTGCAGACAAAGTGATAGGTGGCTCCTCGTTTTCATCCGCCTCTCCTTCTTCTCTGCTATTGTTTACTTCTCGTGGTGTTTTGGCCTCAGCGTCGTCAGATGATCGAGGCTGAAGTTCCGTTGCCACAACCGGCTCTGCCATAGTTTTATCCGGAGGAGGAAAATCTTGCTTCGTGTCAGTCGCGACAGAGCTGGCATCCACGGGGGCCCATTCTGGGATCTGCTTGCCTTCAGCGGAGTCTACTGGCTCCGGGTTCGGTTCGCCGTTGGTCAGAGCATATTCTGGATCGGGCGCGCCGTCAAGGGGAGCAAGCTCTGGGGCAGATCGGCGTTCAACGACGACCGAAAATGTCGGGGTCGGCGACGTAGACTTCGTCCTCCTCTTTCGGCTCGATTCTCCGTCGACATCGTCCGCGGGGCGTGACGAGGAACGCGACCGTTTGCGGGGCACAACGGGTTCTGCGAGCACTACCGAGTCGTTCGTAGTCTCGCTTGGTGTCTGCGACGAAGTCTCCGTGGGCCATTCGGCAGGCGCTAGCTTGAACTAAAGAAAAGCAACCGTCTATCAGAACGAAACTCGGAAGAGGTGCATGCTCACCTCAGGTTCTGCCTCCTCAGCCGCAGCAGTTACAATCCTCGAAACAATGTCGGTAGACATGCCCTTCTTCTCGGCCAACTCTTGCATGATTCCCTCGTAGGGTCGACCGACAGTTGGTGGGGGTTCAGCCAGGGTATGGGTCGCAGTAGACTGTAGACCGTCAACAGCCGGATGAGTGTCCACTTCCATGCTGGTACCCTCCCATAGGGTTTTGGCCACAACGTGCACTTGCGGGTGGACCGGTACAGGCGCCAGTGCTTCGGACTCAGCCACATGGGCACGAGCCTCCTCAACTGGCGACTCCATAGGCTGATCAATGGGAACATCGCTCGGTCCGCTGTCGCTGCTTTGACCCAGTGCATCTTCGACCACTACGTCCATAGCAGAGTCGTTCACGGCCCCAGTGGCAGGGACTTCGTCGCGTGGGCCACCGTCGAGCTCCATTGGCTGAGCGGTAGGTCCCACTAGCTCTCCTCCAGGGTTTTGCGCCAGGTCGGCCATGACTACGTCTTCGGACAGATGGTCATGAGCGTGATATGGTGCAGGCCCAAGAAGTGTTCCCTGCAGTTCACCACTGTCGAGCGTAGGCTCTTGTTGAGGCTCTCGGCACGCTGCGTGCTGCTGCAATGTATCAGGAGCCGCAACATCCTCCAACATTGGCGAATCCTGCAACTCAGCGGTGGCCCGTTTTGGTTCCCCATCCCGGTCTTTCGTGACAATGTCGGTCTCCACTGTTTCAGTATGCGGCGAGTCTCCGACTTTTTGCCCTACCTCCTTCCCATTCACAGCCTCCAGCGCATTACCATTCGCCGGGTGAGGCTGAGGGTCCACGCGCAAGACAACCAATCCCGGTGACTGTTTCTTCCTCTTAACCGACGTGCTCTTGGGCGACATGCCGTTTTGGGAGACGAAACGAAACTCCTGAGACGGCCGCTTCTTCTTGGATGTTCGCGGAGAACTTGGCGCCTGTGAACGCAGGTCGACTTCCGCGGGTCGGTCTGGAGGCGAAACAGTTGGTAGAACTGGAGTCGAGGGCGCCGGCTCCGCAACAACTGCTGGTACGGCTGAAGTGGCGGGCGTTGGCTCCGTTGCAGGTTCCGGAGGCGCATACGTTTCATCTGTTGAGATAGGTGTCGGTTGCTTCAACATTGCAGCATCTGGAGCAGCAGACGAGGACGCTTGAAATTCATTCACGACATTCGATGCAGATGCACCCGCCGTTTCGCTCATACCTGCGATTCGAGTGTCGCTAGCCGTTGGAGCAGTCGGACCGTGCGTCTCCCTCGGAGTCTGAGGCTCAGGCTGTACGCCTGAGGCTGAGCACGCCCTAGAGGTAGGCTCCACGCTCGGGAGCGCCGGAGACGCAGGCTGGGCGACCTTGTTCGCTCTGGCCGACTCCCAGTCCGCCAGGTCCGCCATGATGAAGTCGTCCTCCGTCAGCCGTTTCTTTTTCTTCTTCAGTTTTCGCTTCAGTGGCGGCGCGGCCGAGCTCGACTCACCGGACGTCGCTGCTGCGATCGCGGGAGAGGTCGGCGCTGACACGGTCGGCGACGTGCCCGCCACCGATGAAGGACCCGCCACCGCCGCTGACTGGCTGGGCTCTGCTCTCGATGCCGCGGCGTTTGTAGGCTGTACGCCGTGGCTGGCCATTGGCGCAGGCACACCGGGAGTAGATGGATCTGGCGAGAAGGGGGGCGGAGAGTGCTGTGATACCTGTTGGAGCGAAAGCGGGACGTTAATAGAGACGGGCGGCGCAACAGGTCGGTTGCGCGGAGGTGGGAAAGGTGTGGTTGAGCTGTTCGATGGGCCTCCTTGCACGGGATACCGCAAGGGAGATGCAGCAGCCGGTGATCCCATCTCCACTGCGCTTAGAGTCGGAGGGGTCGCCCCAGAATGTGCTAAAGAGTCGAGGTCGTCAGCTCCATCCATTCTGCGTCGACAAGTGGTGCACTGACCAGCGATGGAGGACCCTGGAGTCATTAGCGGCGACCCACGGCTCATGGGCGAAGCAGACTGCGCCACTCTGTCCGTAGTGGACGGTGAGACAACATAGGGTGACGGGTGTTGTGCTAGCTGCCTCGGATAGTCGGGCGCAAGCGGATCGATGTTAATTGTCTGCAGGAGAACGCGCAAACGAACTATCAGTGGCGATATAAATAATGTGTCCGGGAAGCAGCGCTGAAGTGCTCGAGTCCGCTTACCTTGGAGCTGGGGCTCTGCGAAGAGGAAGTAGAAGTGTGCCACTGTACTAACCAACTTGACAAAGGGCTCGGCCCACGGCTTGAGCGCTTCAGAGGTGTCGCTTATGTGGAACGGTTTGTCGGGCGCATGGCTGTGACGACGCACTTGTGCGTGGGCAGTCTAGTATGTGTTCACAATTTAGTGTTCTGCATAATGGAAGGCATAGTCATACTCCATAGCGAAGGAGAGCGTCCATGTACGAGAGTATACAGCACGCTGCAAGCTGAGATGTCTACTTCGTCTCGGCAACTCCATGTGCAGCCCACTGCTGACCGTCCACAGTATAGCGCATAACTCCCTGTACAACCCCACGCGCGAAGAGGAGATACCCCCCAGGTACGCATGAGAAACCTTGGACATACCTCAAGTAGTTCGACGATCTTACAGGTACCCCAGAATGTCAGATTCATTCCACCATGCCGCAAGCACTTTCCACTCACCACCGGCCTCGCGTATGGATAGTATGCCTTCTCTCGCGCCGCCCACAATGCCAACTTGTCCGCTGTGGCAGCATACAGGTTCACGTTATTCTCTGTTAGGTTCCTGCGGAACAGAGGGAACAGCTTCTCGTTATTCTTCTCTGCGTTTCGAATTGACATCGGAGATCGGTCCACCTGCTTCCTATGAGCAGGTACGCTACCTGCGAGAGCGGATGCGTTCAGGACGCCCTTGGGAATGTGAGTGCAACAGCTCGGTAGACGCGGCGTGTCCGGGCGCCAGGAGAGGATTGAATTTGATCGCCGCGCCCTCCCGGGCCTCCGTCCAACACCACACAATTTCTAGAATAGTCAAAGATAAGGTTCTGTGGTCTAATGGTTATGACGTCTGCTTCACATCTTGTATGTTACTTGCGTTATCTTGTGTACGCTGAAGGTTCCCGGTTCGATCCCGGGCAGAATCATTTTACTCCTTCTAGTCGATCAGAACACCAACCGAGTCTGTCTCCATATGCATGACGGCTCCCTCAGGCAAGCCATAATGGGACGCTGACGGGACGAGGAAGCAATACTCGGAAGTATACTTGGAATGCATCGTCGACTCCGATGAAGAAACCGTCCATTGATAGCCTGACAAGGTATTAGTAAGTCCTGTATACTTCTGTGTCACATCATCCAGCGCTATGCATACGATGCAGGTACAACGTGGGACGATCCTGGTATATCGGTCTGTGAACGTCGTTGAATATCTGGTTGAAGTCGCACGGCCCGTGCCTTATCACAATCATTATCCTACATAAATGTTTGGAGAAGACATCCGTCCGGAGCTCCTTCAGCTCCATCTTCATCGGCACTTTCCTGTTCGTTGATAAGCGGGCTGACCGGATAGCTTAGCTCTCCAGTGCCAGGTGGTGACGTATATCTGTGAGTGCCCTTCCCAAGAGAACTGCATTCTGAGCACAAGGCTATCGTTGCGTCCCGTCCTTCATGTCTGCTCCTCTCGCTGACGCACCGATCCCGAGGCAGTCACCCATCTCACGAGATGTTCTGCAGCAGACAGCTGCTAAGATCGGTATCCGCGTTCCAGCGGAGAAGGAAGGCGAGTTCACTGAGATGCTAGCGAGTGCGAGAGAAGCAATGGAGCAAGTACTGGCTATGGATGGTACGCGAACTTTGTCAGCGTGTGCTGGATTGCCCACCAATGACCATGGTTCATATGTAGACTACTATCCTGTGCCTGACATCGACAAGTACCCTCGCACTGACATCTCATCCCTTTCTCCGGATGAGAATCCGTATAATGCTTGGGCGACAAAAGTGACTGTAAACCACGTGAACAAAGAAGAAGCGGTGTCTGGTATACTTGGGGGCAAACGAGTGGTGTTGAAGGTAACACCCAAAGCATCACGCACGGTTTGGCCATCGTGACGTCACTGCACAGGACAACATCTGTCTCGCTGGTGTTCCTTGTCACTTTGGAACAGACGTTTTCACCAACTGGATACCCAAGACAGACGCCACGGTCGTCACTCGAATTCTCGAGGCAGGCGGAACTGTACGTCCACGCCCTTGGTACAGGCTGAGCACAAGATGTTCTGACTACGTCGTGACACAGATCGTCGGGAAGGCAACATGCGAGAGCTGTTCGTGCAAACATCTGCGGTATGCTTTACATCTGACGCCGAACGATCTATGTAGTCTCTGCTTTCGGTGTGTCGAACACCTCCGCCCTCGGTCCTGTAGGTAATCCGTACGACAAGACTCGCTCTGCCGGTGGGTCTAGTTCTGGCTGCGGCGTGCTCGTCGCAACAGGCGAAGCCGACCTCGCCATTGGCGGCGACCAAGGAGGTTCTATCCGTCTAGTGAGTCTATCCGCTATCTTGATGTCTCGCGCCCATCATCAACTTGCGCTTCCCAGCCCGCCTCCCACGTCGGCATCGTGGGCCTCAAGCCAACCTTCGGGCTCGTACCCTACACGGGTATCGTATCCAACGAAGTCTCGCTTGACCATACCGGGCCCATGTCGCCCGACGTCCTCTCGAATGCGCTCCTTTTACGCGCGATCGCAGGCACGGACGGCATCGACGACCGGCAGATCGCAGGCACGCCCTCGCGCGCGCACGTCCCAGACTACCCCGCGCTCCTCACGGCGGCGCGGACCCGCCACGCGCTCTTGCAAATCGGCCTACCCGCGGACGCTACGGGCATGGAGCCGGGGCAGACGCGCAAGATGCGGGTGGGGATCTTGAAGGAGGGCGGGATGTGCCAGGCGGCCGACCCGAGGGTAGTAGAATGTGTGACAAACGCTGCGAGGAAGTTTGGGGAGCTGGGTGCAGAGGTGGTTGAAGTGAGCGCGCCCGGACATGTACAGGCGGCGTTGATTGGTCGTGTGCAGAGGTGTGTACCCAGATGCGGGATTCAATCGTGATAAGTGCTGACTGGGTGGTCCATAGATTCTCCCAAGCAAACAATTTGCTTGGTCGTGCGAGTGGGACGCGGCAGTCGTACCTGACCGATTTCGTAGAGAATGTTCTCCCGTGGAACCAAGAGAAGTTCGATAAGGTATTGTTCTCATTTCGCGGACGCTACAGTCGCACTCAGATTGATGCAAATCAGCTCTTCGCTAACTCCGCGAATATCCTTATCAATGGTCTGTACGCCGATGAGCACTATCCTCAGGTAAGTCAGATGGGCGCGTGTGGGCCCACCGCATCTAACGTCGTCCCAGTTGCATGGAAAGACGCACAACCTCTTCCGTAAGCTGCGGACAGAGTATGACAGCGTCCTGGAAGGCGTCGACATACTTGTCATGCCAACAGTTCCGTGGGTACCAAAGGTCATGCAGGTCAGTCATCCCCGTGTGATGATTCTGGCTTGTCTTAGCTGAGTCGGGTCATTGACTAGCCACGGCAGGCGTCTCTCCTTGATCACTACAAGGACTACAATGGACTGGTCAGCGAACTTGGACGTCATGTACTGATCCACGCTGAGACCATCTCAATAGACTTGCAACACGCTTCCATACAATAACACCGGCCACCCAGCACTGTCTATCCCGTGTGGGATGCTGTCTCCCCCAGAAGGCCCTAATGACCTGCGCCTACCCATCGGCATGCAGCTTGTGGGGAGGTTCTGGGAGGAGTTGACGCTGTACAAGGCCGCGTTGGCATGGAGCGATGCATACAACTGGAAGGTGCTCTAGACTTGAGAAAGCGAAGATAGCGGTGCATCAATTGTGTATCTATACAAGTATCGTTTCGTGGAATGAAGCAGACCGTTTGGAAGTACAAGTCTATCTATTCGATACAACTGAGACATCACATGAGCATCTGAATGTTTTTACAGCCACTCAATCGTCTAGCAAGGGGTACTGGTTAGATGCGATTGTCGCCAAGACAGAATAGAAAGTACTGACCGCAGGTGGTTTGGACGAAATATCGTAGGTGACCCGGTTGATACCGGCCACTTCGTTCGTAATCCGCGACGAGATCTTCTTGAGCACATCGGCTGGGAACACAAACCTGCACATGACATCAGCGCCCCGTCCGCTCTCGCAGACCCCGCACTCACCAATCCGCGGTCATGAAGTCCTCGCTCTGCACCGCGCGCAGAGCGATGACCTGCTCGTACGTGCGCTTGTCGCCCATGACGCCGACGGCGCGCACGGGCAGGAGGACCGCAAATGCCTGACTAATGCGCTCGTACAGGCCCGCCGCGCGGATCTCCTCGATGTAGATGCTGTCCGCCTTCTGCAGAATCTGCACCTGCTCGCGCGTCACCGGGCCCAGGATGCGGATCGCCAGGCCCGGCCCCGGGAACGGGTGCCGCTGCACGAGCGGTGCGGGGATCGAGAGGAGCCGGCCGAGCGCACGCACCTCGTCTGAGCGTAGCGTAAGTGCGGGTTACCGGAACGGGGCAGGCTGCACGGTAGGTACCTTTGAAGAGCTCGCGGAGGGGCTCGATGAGCTTCAGACGCATGTCTTTCAGCAGGCCGCCGACATTGTGGTGCGTCTTGATGGTCGCGCTCGGCCCCTTAAAACTAATGCTCTCGATCACGTCCGGGTAGAGCGTTCCCTGCAGCAGCCATTCGATCCTGCCCTTCGCCTCGCCGCCCTCGCGCTCTTCCGCCTCCGCGGCAGCCTCGAGCTTGGACGCGGCCTCCTCGAAGACGTTGATGAACGTGTTCCCGATGATGCGCCGCTTCTGCTCGGGGTCGTCGACTCCCGCGAGCCGCGAGAAGAAGAGATCGGACGCGTCAATGACACTGAGGTTCACACCCAGGTCGCGGTTGAGCGTCGCGTGTACCTGCTTCGCTTCGTTGAGACGAAGCACACCGTTATCAACCATGATGGCATGGAACCTAGTACGGCATTTCTTAGCAATACAGTGGTGCACGGTACCAGGGCCGTACCTATCGCCAATGGCTTCGTGCATGAGCTTCGCTGCCACAGTACTGTCGACGCCGCCGCTCACGGCGCCAATGACGCGACCCTTTGGTCCGCAGATCTGCCTGATCCTGGCGATTTCCTTGCCAATGAATTCTTCCTGTTTGAAACTTGAGGTCTGCCAAGACCGAGACAGCACTATAACACAAGACGAACCATTGTCCAGCTCGGCTGGCATCCGCAAATCTTCAAGACGAAATTGCCGATCACTTCCTTGCCCTTGGGCGAGTGCGTGACTTCGGGATGGAACTGTATGCCGTAGAGCGGCTTGCTGTTGTGCGCGAGAGCGGCGTAAGGAGCGGTGTTCGTGCACCCAATCACGCAGAAGTCTGCTGGGGGTTCAGAAAGCTGATCACCGTGCGACATCCAAACCTTCAAGGTATCGAAGATGAGTTTTGGTACGCAGTGTGTACGGGGAATCAAGGACATGCCTGCATCTCTTCTCCCAGCCCGTCGAAGAGAGCATCCGCTGACTGCGAGCCAGAGCCAATCTTGTTGACTTGTATCTGAGCAAACCCGTACTCTCGATGTTCACATTGGGATACTTTCCCCTTCATCTGCCACGCTATTTCCTACTTGGCCGCAAGTATAAGGTGGATATTCCAGCGATCTACTGTTAGCGATTCAGGAGCTCACCTGAAGGCCGTAGCAAATACCCAGAATGGGGACTCCCAACTCAAAGACATCTGGATCAACATGGGGGGCATCGGCATCATATACGGAGTAGGGCGATCCCGAGAGGATGATGCCTAAGCGATCGTGTGAGCAATAGCTTTCAAGTCAATCGTGGCGACTCACCCTTGGGCTTCCAAGTGAGTGCCTTGACCCTTTGAGTGCATGGCATAAGTTCAGCGTAGACATTGAGCTCGCGGCATCTCCTGGTGATGAGGTGACTATACTGCGGATGAGCTTTAGCTTGGTCAGCTGAGAGATGAGCCAGACTTACCTGCGAGCCGAAGTCTAGAATGAGAACTGTGTCGAACTGGTCGTGTATCTCAGCCATCGTACAAAGAAATGCA